CACATTCCCTGCTTTCTACCTGCTCTGGGTTTTCCTCACTTGAATTTCTATCTGGCTTTACCTTGAGACGTCAGTGCTGTATAGATGTTAGGGAGAAACGTGGCAGCTCCAAATCAACAGTTAATCTTAGGTCTTTTCACTCTTAAGAGAGAAGGGTCTTAATCCATTCCACCAATGGATTGTTGACGTCAGAGAAAATACCCTTTCGCTTTGGGCTCACTTAGGTACTTTTTCTCCAGGGCACTGGGACTGGGACTTTCTTTCCCTAAACCCTGGCTACTTTCTGAAGAAAGTCCCAATTTCTTCATCACTAACTCCTCCTGTCTGTAGTTTCAGACTATGAACACCAATAACAGAGGCCTCTCCTTCAGGCAGTGTAACAAGAAACTCACCCCATACAGCCACTTATCCAAAACCCAAGGATCACTGAAACGTCATGAACTTTGTGTTCCTTCCCCAGAGCCTTCAAATCTTAAAATCCAATTCTTGGCCTCTTTAGTCTATTTATGAATTAATGAAAATTGAAATCTAAAATTCTCCCTGGATTTTACTTTTTTTCCTAAGAGTACCATAGGTACAACTCCACACCGAGTTTGCCATTTCTTGGGTTAAATTCTGACTGGGCCAAAAAGAGAAATCATTCCAACCCATGAGGCCAAAGACACAGCGCTCAAAGGAGCGGAACACAGGCAAGCATCAGCTTACAGCCACTCCCATTCTTCTGAAATGCCAACCTGCCAGAGCCCCCGAAATAGACTTCTTATTGTGCCACAGCTTAAAAAACTTGGGGACCTTTTCATTTAAGTTTTGTGACAGCGGTCAACAATTTCTATCCCTAACAATCCAAACCACCCTCATAACTAAAAAGCCTGAAACTACCAAAACTAGCACCTCAGGTTCTTTGAAATCCTTCACTTAGGGGGAAAAACGATCCTAAATAGTTTAAAAAAAAAAAAAAAAAAAAAACCCTTTAGTGGGGAAAACGACCACTGGGCTTGAGTTGCTCTTCTTCCTAAGAGGCTTTGGGTAAGAACGACATGATTTCTGCTCTTGATCTAGTTGGTCCTTTCTCTCCACACTTCCTCTCACCACTGTTACCACCCCATACTCTTCACCAGTACAACATTTAGAAGGATCTTCAAAAATTCAAAAGAAAAGCGAAAACACCAATATAAACAAAACAGGCTCCATCTTACCTCCAAGGGCGGGAGGGCGAGCATGGAGACAGCTCCTGTCTCCACCCGGTAGGTAACAGGTGGGATAAAGCTCTGAATATCACACTGATCTGCCCAGACTTAAGGAGTCAATACCCACGCCGACTCCAAGAGCAGCTGCCTTCAGTCTCCATCCGCAACATGAAGTTTTACTGCGATGGTTTATTTCTACTCAACAGTCGTGGCTTCTCTTTGCTCTCTCTGGACATGGTTAGCCACAGATAGACAGCCCAGGCTGCTGGGTGAAGCAGCTGCGGCGTGTGCAAGACGCTGCTCAGTGCAACTGCTTCACCCAGATAAGCAGACACAAGGTCTGCCCTGTGACAGCAGCTCAGCTGACTGGGCTGGGGCGGAAATCCTGCATCCTACCTCCTGCACTGGGCTGCCGCCAGGCTGGAGTCCCAGGCTGCTTTCCCTCTACGGCTCCTCACCCCTACCAACCACCGAGGACCACCACTTGGATCCTAGAGCTGGCCTCCTGAGAAAGACAGTCCCAGTTGCTCGTGAAGCCACTCCCTGACCTGTACAGAGCAGGATGGTAGGGCAAGAAGAAGTTATTTCAGGCTTGTCAAGAAAACCTCAGAAAACTCCCAATCATACTTTTCAGCACGGTTTCTCTGGCCCTAGAGAAAAGAACTAAGCCACGTGAATAAATTCCTCTACCATTGTAAAACTACAGTGAGAGGCCGGTAAGCAGTCAAGCCAGGAGTCAGAAATACAGGAAGCACATTCTGCCCAGCCCTCAGAGATGACGTGCCTCTTCTGGTAGCAGTGACTAGTAACTTGGCAACCTCCCAAGTGTAACCCTCTAAATAGAGAGACCTGTAGTTCCCCAGCACAGCACAGAGACTCTGAAGAGAAATTTGCTTCCCAACTTGTCAATTCTGTACTCTAGTTTGCTTACCTGTTGCTGGCACAGGTCCTTGAATAGGCAGATGAAGTTTCTCTGGCTTCTCCTTTTCGGCAAAACATTTCTCAACACTTCCAGTGGCTTCCCCACAAATGCTGACAGTCTGTGGGGTCTCCCCCTGTAGGAGAGCGTTCGCCTTCTCAGGAGAAACCTTCTCGAGCTCACCAGCCGCAGGGCCTGGCTCTGAAGAACTGACACCCGCAGCCTTGGCTCGCTCTATGACAGTATCCACTAGGTGACTTGCAGCCTCTTCTATTGAGTCTGCTCCTTCAGGCACAGAAACCGCTTTGGAGGGCACAGTGCTCGACTGAGCAAGGACACTGCTTTCCTTGCGTGGGGCTGCAGCTTGCCGGGCGTCCTTCGTGTCTGGTGGGGTCCTGTTGTCCATGTCTGAGAGTCCTGTTTCTGGAGGAAGCTCCTTGGCAGAAGACTGTGGTAGGGCATGAACCGCTTCAGTCTCCATTTGGGCCTCCTCAGAGTTACCCACAGAACAGCTGTGGTCTGTTCTCTCTAGGTCCTCCTTTTCCCTTTCAAGAGGTAGCCCCTCTGGGTTTGTAGCTCCCTGCAGGTCAGAAACACCTTTGCCTGGTGATGCTCCTGGCAAACCCAGGGGCTTATTCTCCTCCTGGCTCAACAACTCTTTTGAAAGAGAGATGTCTTGGGTGCTGGGTGATGCATCCTCTCGTCTGTTGATGCAGTTAGCAGTATCTGGATGAGCACTACCGGCTGCACCATCCAACGTCACAGGTCCACTCGCCTCACAAGCAGCAGTTGTGCCCTGGGAATCAGTGTTCTTTATTCCAGCGTGACGAGCAGAAGACTGATGGGAATTAAGAGCCCCGGATGCATCTGGCACGAGACCTGGTAGCAGAGATGGGCAGCTCTGCTCTGGGCTCGAGGCTTCCTGCCTCAAATCTACAGTCAGACTTGCTCCTGGTACAGCCCCACCTCCACTCAGCAGCGAGGCTTGCGGGGCCACTTCCTGGTTATGTTTCATTTCTGTGTTGAGAGGAGCAGAGGGTGCGCCCCGTGGACTCTCGCACTGAGGGGCAGTGCCCTCGGCACAGGCAGCTGAGGGAGGATCTTCACAGAATCCCAGTTCTTTTGGTGTAGGAGGTGGTGGTCTGTGCTCTTCTTGTAACATTCCTGAAGACAACGTGTCTTCCTTGATGAAGGGGCAAATCACTGCTTTGTCTCTGTCATCTCTTCTCTGAGTCGCAGAGCTTTCTGGAACCACCAGACTTTTCCCTTCTCCAGTCAAAACAGAATCAGCAGTTGGTGTGGCCCTAGTCACACTCGGGAGGGAAGCATCAGTGCCCAGTTGCTCGATACTCAGCACTTCGGAGGCTGCTGAGGGGCAGGGATCTTCCTGCTGCCCACCGGGTCCCATCAGACTGGTGTTGCCCATGCTGGACGGCAGTGCTGGAGCAGAAGGGCGCGTGGCTAGGCCAGCTGTCCTGTCCCTGCCTAGGTCACCACTACCATCTGTAGACTGATGAACTTTAGGAGTTGCTGTTCCTTTTTCTTTCTGGGAGGGGACAAGGGATAGTGCGTCACCTCTGGTTACTAATTCACTGCCTGGTTCACTTGCCAGTGAGACTGCGATGCCTGATGTCACTGCCTGGTCTGACACCAGTTCTTCCTCAGCTGTGGGGACAACTGAATGTGGATGCGAAGCCACCTCACGCCAGTCTGCTGCAGCTCTATCTCGAGTCACATCTCCTCCTGGGGCCTCTTTATCTAGATATTCGGGAAGACAAGACTCCCCGCGTTCCTGGGCATCTGGTACAAGGTCAGTGATGACCTTGCTGGCCCGTGCGTCTTCACAGAGGACCTCAGGGGGTGGATCCTGTGCAGTGGGCAGCCCTGTTAGCATACGGTCAGCATGGGCAACTGTGTCAGGTTTGGTCAAGGAGCCACCAGAAATCACTGAGTCAGCACAGAGTTTATCCACTCCACTTGTAGGACAGACGGGTGACATGCTGCTCTGACTTTGGACACGTGGTGAATTTGTTTCTGATTTCTGGTTTGGTACTGAATCTTCCTCAGGCCCAGGAACGGGTAAATCCAAAGGAGACTTAGCCTCACACATGTCTGCAGAGGTAACGGCAGGTTCTGAGCAGCCTACTGCCTTTTCTTTCACAGCAGCTGGGACGACCAGAGAGCTCGGATCCACCGGAGCCTTGGTGCGCTCTTTGTAACTTCTTGGTGAAGCTTGTATTTTTGCAGTGTTTTCCACAGTATTGTCTCCACTACTGAACGTAAGTAAGGACTCAGCCGGTTCCTGAGCATCCAGGGCACTGGTGGCAGAGACACGGTTCGGAGTACTGACTGTGTCTCCAGGTTTCCTGGTGACTTTGACGTCAGAGGCGCCTGCTGTACTGATACTACAGTTCTCAGTCCTTGTCTTTGTACTTTCCCCTACTTCCAGCATGTTCTTCTGGAGGGTGGTCTCTGGGTTCAGAAGACCATGTTCCATGTCCCCTGAAGTCTCTGGGCCAGTGACATCTGCTGTGGAACTAACGGTCAGTTCACCTCCAGAGAACTGCTGGCCCGTGCTCAGCGCTGTAGCCAGGTCTTCCTGCACGATGTGGTCTCCACTGCTCAGAGACTCCTGGTCTGCAGTCGCCCGGGAAGATTTTGTTCCAGTCTCTTCCTTTCTGTTTCCACAGGCGGGAAGGTCTCCCGTGCCTGTTTGTCCAGAGTCAGGCATGTTCGGAAGGCAGCTGTATTGATCTGAAACGGTGCCACCGTCCACAGTGGGCGCTGTCTCCACCTCTTCCTTTTGTTTCTGCAGGCCTTGGTTTTTTTCCTCACAGGAACTATCTGTGTTCTCTGTCGTAACTATGCCTGACACAACACTGGAGCAATCTATCTGGCCCTTGGCAGGGCTCTCGTGGCAGCAGGCAGGGCTACCTGCATCTTTAGGGGGAGAAGGACGTTGCTGGCAGTCCACAAGCTCGGATACACAGGGAAGAGACTGGCCTTCTGTGTCTGGGGCGCGGGGAAGATTTGAAGGATTCTGTTCTGTAACCATTAAGGGCGTAAGATTGTCCATCTGCTTGAGGTGTGTTTTCTAGAAGAAAGAAAAGATACTTCTTTTTAAAAACCTGTCCATGGGAACACAGAGGCCACTCACATCTATAAACACAGATCATGCTGGACGGAATTCACAGTCATTTCAGGTCCTATAATTGTCATTGTTAAATGCCGTTGAGTCTGTTCCGACTCACAGCGACCCTGTATAGGGTTTCTGAGGAGCAGCTGGTGACTCTGAACTGCCAACCTCGCAGTTCAAATCGACCTCGTGGTAGAGTGCTTATCCTACAGAACCACCTCTGGACTCCCCTATGATAAATTGCTCTGTATCAATACAAATTGATTTTCTCTTGTTCCTGATACCACTTTCCTATCTTATACCTGCACACTGCCTGGAATGTAAAAATGGCAAAGAATCTAATACAACATGACTATTTGCTATATTATAAACCTACTTTAGAGAGAATATTAAAATTAAATCTCAACCTTACTTACTTTATAATTTATCTTATAGTTGGTGCTGTTGAGAAAACACACCCATTCAACAGTTTCTACATGGATAATTATGCGACACTGATTTATTTTAGCCTAATTGTAATCTTTGTAACCATTCTCACCTTTCCTTTCCCACTTGCTCTTTGCCTATTATTAACATAACCCCACCCAAAGGTTCCCATCCAATCCTTGGCGCTGGCACAACTATCTTATTTAAAAAAACAAAAACAAACAAACAAACACACACACACATACACAAAACACAATACAAGTGACTATCTGCAAATGAACATCTGAGACAGACACACACACAGACAAGTCCTTTTGTAGGGAAAGAGGCTGTTGCTTCTGTCTTGCCTCATGTACAAGTAAGAACGAATCTTAAACAGTATGCTAAGCTCTTTTCAATCTCAAGGTGCAGCCAAATCTGAAATATTGACCGAGGAGTTACACCTTGTACTTTAATCCTAAAAATACACTCCACCTTGTCTAGCTTAACAATTTCAGGGATGAATGAATAATTTTAAGAAGAGTGGCATAAAAGAGTGTCTTTTTAATTTTTGATTCAAACAGTTCCTCTGTTGTCCGATGCTGGCTATTGTGTCCAATGAGAACATGTAACCCTAATTGATACCTAAGCCAGTTCATTCTCTGAGAGAACTTTGGCCTGAGAATAAATATCATGTTGTTAAGTGCTGCTGAGTCAGTTCCGTCTCACAGCAACCCTGTTATAGGGTTTCCGAGGAGCGGCTGGTAGGTTTGAACCACCGACCTTGAGGTTCAAACAGACCTTGTGGACCAGTATATCACCCTGTAGTACCACCACACCAGAATGTTACAGGCCATCTTAAAATCGTTTTTGTAACTCTAAGATATAGTTTTAATGTAAACAGATATAACTAACAAATATGAGAATAATGGTTAAAATTATCACGGTGTCTTTATGCAGGCATATAAATGCTAAGGAAGACCATACAGGAATCGTGAAAGCATAAAATGATGAATAAAATAAAATCTGTAGCTGATCAAAGATTACAATTAGGCTAAAACCACACATGTGTATTGATGAGCACTAGGAAGAAATGGGACAAATCAAATACAAGACTTACTAGGATGCATCTGCCTCTCTCTAAAAACTTTAGTATTTTTAAAAATACCACTTGCTCAACACCAAGGCAATCTATTTTTAAAACAGGTGGTTTGTTCAGCACTCAATATGAGATCTACTGCGGTAATGCCAAACATATTTACTTTCCTCCACCCTCTCATTCATTTACTGGCTCAGTAAATATGCTGAGCTGTAATAAAAACTGCTGACTCATTTCAACTGCCCCTGTCTGTTCCCTGGGTCTAGTACAAAAGTCTACGCAGGTGTCAAATGTGTTTAAGTCTTTTTTCTGTAAGAGAGTTCAAGAAAAATAGATTGTCACTGAAAGCTTGAGTGTTCTCTATATCCCTTAGAGTATTCAAAAGGAGCTTCCTTCTGGCCCACTGCGAATGGGGCAGTGTTCTTAAGTAATGAAAGATGCTCATTACATCTACTGAAGAGTGAACATTAATGAAGAGCCATCCAGGAAACTGGAGAAGCCACTCGAAGACTTTTAGAAGCTCACAGATAACACCAGCATTCTTCCCATTTTTCACTTCTTGTGTCAACCTGCTAACGATTCCCATAGTCAAGCACACGGTCATCTACCTGGTAGGAAAAACTCTGAAGGGCATTCTAATTTGCTGGCAGTCCTTTCAGAGGAAAACAAAATGACACCTGTTCTGGAACAAACACGGTTCTGAAAGGCAGAGGCAGGCACACCACACAGGCCAGCACTGAAGCCACTTGGCCTTCTGGTCTCAGAAATGCCTGCTCCGGAAGAGGCCTCTGGCACTGCGCTGACTCTAGGTGACCTTTAATGAAATTACTGTCAAGCTGTTTCCAAATCAAATCAGCACTGAACCAAACTGGACAGAAAAATGATCTAAACTTAGCCTTGCTGATATTATGGTCTAGCGAGATGCACCCATATGACGTTTATATTATGCATAATAAATGCTATTAGGGAGTAGTAATGTTTTTATGTCTGGCAACAACTTTATCTTGAAGGCTTGAGTGGACTATAAAATCTTTATTTTTTTTAGTGATATTTTTACCATGCAAGTATCAATTTAAATATAGTTAACACCATCATTACTCATGGAAATAGTTGTAAAAAGGCTTTATTCCTGAGCAAACCTGGTTCATGTTCTTTAGCAACAATCGTAGAAATTATTTTGCTCACAGATTTTTTTTTTTTTTAAGTTTTTATTGTGAATTGGGTGATAGTTTACGCGGGACAACATTGGTTTTACACTCATCGTTTCATTGCAATGATTACAGTCTCCTCTGTATGTCATCATTCAACATTATTTGCTTCTATTCCCTTTGTTTTTGTTTGTTTGTTTGGGGGATATACACAAAAACACTCAGGAATATATAATTTAAATAAACAAAGGGCACATTCTGCAAGCCTGCCTCCTGGCCACCAGCACACAGCCTTTCTCTTTCCATGAGTCTAGAGTCCTCTATCTCTCCATGTCCTCTTCTCTGCCTCCACTGCTCATAGAGCTTTATAAAGTTAAACCAAATAGACAAATTCCCTTTTATGCCAGAAAATTTCACTCCAGCTGATGATCTTATTTTTGTATCTCTAATGTGTGTGCTTATGTTTATCTTCCAACATTCTACACCTGGGAATAGCCATGGACAAATTCCTTTGTCTCCCTATTGGTACAGGCACACACTAAGTCTGAATCTGTAGGTGGGAACACTTACAATTGCTAGTCTGGCTTCCCCGGTTTCACAGTCTTGGGGAGAAGCCTTTTCATGCTATAATTGTGGCAAGGTCAATCAGGGGAGAGGGGCAAACCTCACAAAAGCCTGAACACAGACATTTCTTCCTTACCATTAGCTGCTGTTGGATGTTCCTAAGTTTAAAAATATGCCCAGTGCAGCTGTCTCCAGGAAATGGGGGTTCTCGAGGTGCTCCAGACTCAGATGTTAATGTATAGATGCCCAGCTCTCGATGGTGCCTCACAGAACAGTCTCCGTAGGGTATCTCATAGGACAAACTGCTCCAGGCATCTGGTTCTCCAGCATTCTCCCTGCAACGAAGCAAATTCTGGTGAGTATATATGCCTTTGAACTCCCAAGCCACGCTTAGCCCTCTGTGTCTTACAGAAAGGATCTAACCTGCCTGCTTCCAAAAGGGGGCTCTGCAGCGGGATGCTGATGTGTAGCGCTCCATCTCTATAGGCGCATAACTAAGTGTTTGGTTCTCCACACAAGGCGGCTAAGTCAAAACTGCACTTCCTACAGAGGCTTTGGGTTTTTGTTGTTTTTTTTTTTTTTGCTGTTGTTTTGTTTTGTTTTCCCCCGCCATGATACAGTTCAGTCTCGGCTCTTGAAACAGTTAATATTATGCTAACAACAAAATAATGAGGAAGGACAAGGAGAATGGTTTTCATCTAGTTATCAATAGAAGCATGGATGAGTAAGACTTTGTTTTTAATAGTCCAGAGGACTAATGGTCCACAAGAACCCCAGCCTCCATGACCCTGAAGCCAGAAGAACCAGATGGTGCCAGATACCATTGCTGAGAGCTCTAAAAGGGATCGTAACAGGAGGTCCTTGACAGGGTAGGAGAAAAACATAGAGTAAACTTAAAAAAAAAAGCAAAAACATAAAACCTAGGTCTACTGGTGTCTGAGAGAGACTGGCAGAACCCGTGACACTCGAGTCCATGAAGGCTCTTTAGGCCGGACTTTAACTCAGCTCTGCCACTCAACTCTCAGGCATATGACAATAATGATACCAGGGCGGTACGGTACACTCGCTTACAACAACCAATCATCTGAGAGCAAAGGAGCAGCACATGCCCAGTGACCAAACTCAGAAGGCTTTTCAAGAGGGAAGGATGGAAACAGTCAACACTGGAAGGGAGTGGGAAGAGCGCTGTTGCATTGTGGGGGCTGCAATCAGTGTCATAAAATGTGCATCAACTGTTGACTAGAATGCCAATTTGCTGGATAAGCTTGCATCCAAATCACAATAAAAAGTTAAAAAAAAAAAAAAAAAAAAACTACCAATGTTTAAAGTAAGTATTATCATACACCAACCGCAGTCAATTATATCGTAAAGTTAAGAACCAGCGATTTTAGCCCAGACTGTGTTCCTCCAACTTCTGGTTTTTTTTTCAGAAGCATTCTCAAAATTCCCAATGTCAACTCTATAGAAAAATCGAATACAATTGCCAGACTATTCTACAGTTGTCAAAATATTCATCAAATCCGATGGTAAATAAAGCACTTAGTAAAACAAGAATTTCCAGTTACATTTTTTAAAAAGTTAATGAACA